AAAAATGGTCTCACAATATGAAATAGCTACTATGAGGACTAACATCACACATGAATAAAAATATGAACACCAATTTGTGCAATTACAAGAAAGTTTAGGGTCACCAGCATGCAGAAACCATTTTTGGAATAGGCAAAAATAACCCATTTGTACTGCATGAAAAGACTGCATGGATTTGCCCCAAACTGCATGATGTTATCATAAAGTCTGTAAAGGGGAGACTCAAGGGTATCAATAGAACCCAAAGGGACCCCTTTGAAAAGTGCCAATGCCAGTTTTCCCTCGCCAAAAATGTGCCTAATTTCTGAACGTTATTTATTCCTCCTGACAATCTATCATGACATGGGAGCAGTAGATGCCTTTGGTCCTCTAGTTTCATATGATACCAGTATCTTCACTCTAAATGTGTAGAGGTTTTGTAGGCCAACCCTGCAAGTTAGCATCTCACTGGTGCCCTAGACAAAATATAAGAAAATAATCTTTGTGACCAGCAAACATTTACCTTTTGTACCTTTTGTCTTAACAAATGAACACCCCTTTTATGATTTTTTTTTTTTTTTTTTGTTTTTTTTTTAAAAGCGTGAATGCTATCGGCAGAAGTAAAAATCGAACAACCTGCACCACGGTCACACGACTTCAAGTCACCACTACCAAGCTAAAGTCTACCAAGCTACCAAGTCGGCGTGATGGCATTCAGTCGTCTCATTTAGCCACTTGTTAGCTTGGTATTTACTGACGTATTTTATATCATAGAACAAAATGTTCAAATCTCCTCAATTTGTGTTAACCTTATTTCAGACATCCAACCAAAAACAAATGATACATATTGGACACAGCCCTAATGGTAACCATTAACAAACAATAACCACTGAATAGTGAATTATACTTATTATTATATTTCCCTTCTTCCTGTGGCAGCACTACTTTGCCTCCTCTCCTTTTAGAGCAGACTGAACACAGCCTGTCTCTCCACTGCTGCCTCCCTACCTCACTGTCTCTCTCTCTCTCTGTCTTTGTCTCTTTCGCTATCCCTGCGACTGCAGTATGGAAACAATAAATATGCAAATGCAGTGAAATATCCCAAAGCGAAATAAGGAAGCAATGAACTTGCAGTGGAGATAGGGTGCCTCTATTCAGCGCCCTTTATTTGACAAATGGTGTTAAAGCAGAATGTAATCATTCTCGACAAATGATGCACTCAAGAAATGGCAGATGGCACAATAGAGCTTTCATGTACTCGTATTTAGTCGCTCTGTATTAGACAATGGAAATGATTGGTATAGACAGTGCAATGTGCACAATGGGCTGGCTCACAGCTATTGTTTGCCTGTCCTTGTTTTAGAAAAATCAATCAAAGCAAATTAACAACATTCTACCTTTAAGTCCAACTCTTATTTAGCTTTAACACAAAATGATCCCAGTGCGGCTTTGAAAGCAACGGGCAATATCCAGGTCAGCAAAAATGATAGAGGTCATGTCCATATATCGTTGGATAAGTCGATAATGTAAAAATGGTCGAGGTTATGTTCCCACAGTGTACAATAAGTCTAACGTAAAAATGATGGAGGTCGTAACCATATACTGTATTGTACGATAAGTCGATAATGTAAAAATGATCGCGGTTGTGACCATATATTGTACAATAAGTTGATAACGTAAAAAAATATCACGGCCGTGACCCGATAGCGTACGATAAGTCTATAACGTAATTATCGAGACAGGCCTTATGACAGCACTGAAGTCAGTCGGTTGCAGCAAAATTGAACGGAAAAAAATGACATCACAGGAAGTAGCCGACTGTTTTCTCATTTGCATCCTAGTTCGCAGACTGCTGTCCAAGGGGATCCTGATCCAAGTCTTTCCTCTCCACGAAAAGGAGGAACTGAAGAGGCTGTCGTTTTCTTGGTACCAAAAGGTGAAGCTGTCCTTTCAGCCTCTCGGTAAGTAGACGAGAGAGTTGATCTACATGAAGACCTATTTGCCTTCCAGTTCAGAGTTGTTCTCAACCTTTACGGATGTTTTTCCCTCTTTTTATTTCTCTTCAGTATATTTTTCCTGTCATATTTTTAAATGACTTGCCCGCTACTTTCTTCTCCATTCTCTAACCCCAGATGACATCCGACACTACTACGGCGAGGGTCAGGCCCTCTACTTTGGCTTCCTGGAGTACTTCACCTTCGCCCTGGTGCCCATGGCTCTCATCGGGGTGCCTTACTACCTGTTTGACTGGGAGGACTACGACAAATATGTCATCTTTGCTGCGTTCAACTTGGTCTGGTGCACCGTTATCCTGGAGGTACGGACAGTGATTGCGTCTGCTTATAAGTCACTTGAAGGGGAAGTAACAATCTCAGGGACTTTTAAAGAAATCCAAATGAATGAAAGGAGCATGATACATTGTAGTTTGATTGAATAACATTCCAGTGAAAGCTGAGTAACCGAAGAGCCCAAACCTCCCCCCCCCCCCCCCCCCCCCCCCCCCCCCCCCCCCCCCCCCCCC